TTACACATTATAGTCATGTAAGTACAAAATTATGTACCTACCTACACGAATAAAATTGGCTTGTCGCCAAGTTACCAAGTAAACTGATATTATTGAGTGGGTGGACAATGAAGCCCATTTGAGTATTACAACTCTAAATAAATAACACTCGGTAGTAGATACATACTACATATCTATTATAAGCATGTTTAACTATTTAACTGTGAATGTTCAAATATTGTAAATGCAATATTTTATCATTCCTGATGATTTAATTTATTAAACATGGCATTATATTGTTACGACTAAATGACCAAAACAGTTATACGACGCTCATACCATATAAATATATATTTTAATTAATGGAATCAAATTTATACCTTTTAACATACGTAAAGTGCATAAGTATTAAAAGTATTACAACTTGCACAAATCAATATTTAGTTTTAAAACTGTTATAACGAATACTCCGCGACAGTACCTAACCTATACACGGTTATGCCTAATATAGTGTATTGGCTTTAACTTTACACAAACCTATACATAGTATAATATAACATAATATATACATTTAAAAAAAATCAAAATTTACCAAGACCTAAATAATGCTTTGAGCTTGTATTTAACCAGTTCTAGCTAACAAACTATTAGAAGAAATGTTAAAGAAAATTATAAAAAAAAATATCTCGAATAAGTATTTTTGTGTTTTTATAAATACCAACTAAAGTTGTAACTGAAAAAACAACTCTATAGATTGATATATTTATGTGTAAAACCACATGTGTTTGTTGTTAAGAAATGTGACATGGGCGTTAAAAATCGACCGTCGACCCTTACTTGTTTTTCGGTGATTAATGAGACTCCTTCTTTATGGGGTGGTTACCTAATAGAAAGTTACAAAAGATGTATGACTTGTGTTACACTTGCGGCATTAATATATATATATATATACTTATACTTATTCCTTTTGTACTTTTGTACATAACCAATGATTTATCACAATTATAATATGTCTTCAAATAGCAAGAAAAACATCTATATTCACTATATTGAACGAGTATAAAAATAAAAATGGTTACGTACCATATTAGATAAATATGGTCTATTTAGAGAAAGACGATTCCATAAATAAAAGATAATACTCTCCAAACAAATATTTGAAAAAAAATGTATTCAGACATTTGGCGTTGTAGTACTGCATATTTTTTTTAAATTCACGACAAAATCAATTTTTATTCACACATGTTGTTCAATAAAATTATTAAAAAATTTTTTGAAATGTCATTATATTAACTAATAGCATACTTATTATATGAATCATTTACTCCCGCTATATAACACTCCAATTTGAAAGAGACTTTTGATCGAAAGAGGCAACAGCCGTTCAGCCTGTTTCAGTCTTATACTTCACCGCACGTACATCTCACTGTCGTTCCGCGTTTTTCCAGGCCATTTAACTTTTTCATTTCTTGAATAAAAACTTTATTTTATTTATGTATGTAATGAATTTTGTGTTTAAATGTACATAAGTAGATATCAAATATAAAAATCCATTGCATAGGTATGTATTTTATTAATAAAACTATTAAAAAAAAAATTTAAATCTAAAATTTAAGTAGGTATCCAAAATTTAATAATTTGTTAAATATTTTTCCTTATTATTACCTATGTTTTTATTTAGAGTTAAAAATAGAAGAAAGGTTTGGGATGATATATAGGGCTCTAAGGGAGTTAAACAAAATAGTTCGTTTCATGTACAGAGAAAGATAGTCAAAAAGAATGTGAGATAAATCACAAGGACTTTCTGTTAAATATAAGGTGCAGAGCGTTATTTAAATCCAGTTTGTATGAATGGACAGGTAGAAGTGTATGACCTGAACATAGACGATTAAATTATACAATGGTTATTCTAGATAGGTGGAGATTTGGGTGGGCCAGAAGTGTTATGATGACGTATAAATGGAGTGAAATCAGTAAGAGGAAGTTGAGTAAAAAAGAGACATATTAAGTTGGACGTAGACTTAGCTAGATCAACTACCTAGGCTACCTCATTACCACAAAAATTTGACTGGTGAAGTGTGAGGGTAGGTAATGCGTTTAATGCGAAGAATTCAATGCCGGAATTAAGCTTTGATTCTTTGTCTATGCCTGTTCTTTTTCTTATTTGTAGTACATTTCGACGATTCAAATTTTTGCAGTAAGGTTTTGGAATGATGTATTCAATTTTGTGCTATCTTTTACAATTATTGGGTCAATATGTACAACATGAGATGCATAGCCTGTAACGGGACAAGCCCCATCCTACATCTCACAATATAACAACTGTACCATAACAAGGACACGCGTAACCATCAGCATCAATTATCAATATTACAAATTTAATGACCCCAGCTCTGGTATGAAAAAGAATTAAAGAAGGCTTTAGTCACCACTACAATATAAATCCAAGAAAAGTATCATATATGCTAATTCATATCATCAATCCCATATGTCTTTTGGAAACCGTATACTCATAACAGTTATAAAAACATATTTAACAATATCATAACTTCGCTATGCAACGTCACACCCGAAAACACAGAAATACAGCCCAGAGCCACAATCAATGCACTATTTTTCATCTTCCAAGCCTGGTGATATTGTGACACGAGACAAAAGAGGAGCCATCCGATCCAATCAAGAATGACAAGCAAGAAGAAACTTAGCGAAGACGGCGACATTCCAGCTATAGTAAGTGTTAGGTATTTCGTAGGCTACGTAGACAAGCGTAGCATACTATGAAGTAAACCTATTATTTGTTCGTTCCTATTCCTAATGAGCTTGGCGGGGGTACAGGCTACGACAAGTACTTAGCAACACTGTACGCTCAGCTCAAAATCCATTCTCCAGCCATATCGGTGTGCGGGCTACACCCAATGCCTAGCAATATTGCACATTCGGTCATCCTTATCTCTCAATCTATAAATGAATCGATGATTGCAAAAATGACACGAGTCACATTTTTTGTGAACCGTTATGAATCAGATAACTTTGAAAGTCAATAATAAAAAAACACAATATTATTTATATACACTAATTATGTATAATCAGTGCATAATATATTACTACAAGTATTCATTTTTAAATAAGAATTTTTTCAGAATTATTTAAATTATACACTTTTTATCAATTATCCAAAAGTTTTAAAAAATTGACTCATGTCGTTTCTGCAATCATTGATTCATAATATAGGCTCCATCATAGATACGGAGCAGTGCTATTAAAGTGCACAGTTATTCTATATTGAAACTATCTACAATTAACAAATATAGTGATATATTTAATTATAATAAACCACCCACAATTGTAACGCAAAATATATTAAATATTCCGAATTATGTCGCGTTTTCTAAAATATATAAATTAATTTGAACCTATTGTATTTTATCAAATATTTTAATAAATTTACCCCGAATTATGTATACCGTTTTCTATGATGTGTAAAGATAATTTGAATATATTGTATTTTTAATAATTTTAAAATAAAAGTTAACAAAAATAATAATAAGCAAAAACATCAAGCACTATACTTTGTTACAAGCCTACACGCAGAATATTATTTGTTTTAAACTTCTTTTAGTTCGACACCATAAACTACGACGTTTATGAATATCCATTTTAGGGACATCATTTTCTTTCGAATTATACTCTTCTATCATTACATCTTGGTTAAATTCTGAAAGTTCTTCTATAATATTAAGGTAAAACAATTATTTAAAAAATACGTTGATAAGGTTAAATATTTATTACTTTTATTACCGCTAAGATCCGACAAATACTTTTTAATGTTCTCTTCTTCAAAAAAACATAATATACGAAAAAAAATACCAAAAAATATATTATTATACTACAATATTGATTACAAATATACAAGTGTGAAAAGTTTAGATGTATTTTACGCAAATATTAACAATTATTATGGTTCTAATATTATAATTCATAATGTATGAAATGTTGTAAAATAAAATGTAAAATATTATTTAAAATATAAGAATATCTATATATTATTATTTCTATGTTAAAAATATACTTTTTTTAAATTAAATTAAACAGAGCATTTTTTTTTTTTTAACTATAAAGTATAAATACTTATTATATTAAATTATATTCAATGAACATTACCATTTACTATATATATTTTTTTTTTAATTTATGATTAAATGAATAATTTGATTGTATCTATAAGTTTTATTAGTACCTAATCGATGAACAGCAAAATATTAAATCTATTTTAAGGATATTAGATATATCATATCGGGTAATTTGTGGTAAATAGACCGATTTCCGATCGGTTGTACAATTTAAAAATTAGTAACAACTAATAATCTACGATGTAGATATCAGCTTCAAAATTCAGGGAACAAAAAGTAAAAAAATGATTAAAAAAGAAACATTTATACATGAAAAATTGTATGAAATGCATGCAACAAAAATTGCTCGGTTAGACTATGAGCAGAAATTATTTTTAAAATTTTTACCAATTTCTTAATGACAATTTTTTTTTTTTTAATAATATATTTTTGAATGATACACATTTTTACCTAATACTTTACAACTGATTTTCAATAATACATCTTTTAATTATAAACAAAAAACAGCAAAACTAATAATTTTAACCTAATACTAACCTAATACTTAAACAATTATTATGCCAGTCCTAATCTTAAAAATTGGTAGGAAAATATTAATTTTAATAAATAAATAAATTTCATACAAATTATACCTTGGCCGCAGTTTACATATATACAAAATATACCCGGGCCGCAATTTACACAAAAATTTAAAAATGGGACGCAATTTACAGCGACCCAAATTCTCATAAAAATGATTATCAAGGTCTCCAATCTCCTTGACGCAAGATCAAGTATTTATCAGCTTACCAGTTTAACTGTTTTCTTATCTACCTACTGTTATCTACTTATACACAATTGATAAGAGTATGAGTTGAAATCACAATTTACAAATATTATTGTCAATTACATTTACATAATATTATCTTAAATCATAGACCGTGGTTAAAATTTTGAATTATTGTCGAAAAAATATACGGCAAATACGCAAATACTAAATTATAAATATAAATTAAATAAATAACAATAAACGTATTTAAAATTCGAGCTTGCGTGTTGCATCATTGCAAGAATTAATAATTAATTGCTGTTGCACAGAAGACAACCAAATTACACATTTATATAGTTTGTAATTTTATTATTATTTACATTCATATTAAAATAATTACAATACTTTATCAATTATCTTATTAATAGTATTAATACTCAATAGACTTGTTGTGAAGTGTACAATAATTTATATCAAGATGATGCATTACGATGAAGGTGAACTTGCAGACCACAGGCCTTGTGCAGGCATTAGAGCAGATCTCAAGATGTGTTTGTTGAAATCAGACTGTTGTAAAATAGTAAATAACTTATTTTTTCCTATAAAGAATACCCAATACCCAATAGATATGTTATGGGTGTCCAAATGTCATAATGGTGTTAATTATAATTTTTAGGAAAGAAAATTGCCCAAAGACTGTTTGAAAGAGAAAAACTGTCCACCAGAATGTTTAGCATTACAAAATACATTTTTTGAATGCAAGAGGTCACTTGTAAGTGATAAGTTGATTTAGTTAAATAGATAATATTTTGTAACCAAATTTAAATGGCTTATATTAATAAATTTATAAGCAGGGATGGTTTTTATAACATTTAAAATTGAATAAATATAACTAATATTTCCTTTGATATGTTATTCATGAAATAAGGGTGTTAAAAATATATACTTAAAATGATTGAATATAAAAAAAAAAAATGAAGTTACCGCTATCATAAATATAAGAAATACTTAATTTATTATACAACTTTACAAATTTAAATATTTTCTATTTATCATTAAAAATGTTAAATCAAATTATTTGAAAAAAATCACCTAATAATCTATTAATATATCAGTTGAATAATTTGAATTTATTAAAAAAAATGAATCAATCACTAGTATGCAATTGGCAATTGTTGAAAAGCATATTTATTAGTTGATTTGACAGTTAGTTCTTTATATATGGCCAATTTTTTTATTAAAAAACAAGTAAAAATGCAAAAATATTTCAGTTTCAACAATAGCCCAATAATTGCAAAAATATACAAAAAACAAAAAAAAAAAATGAAATTTTAAATTCTTCATCTGTGTATTATGAAATTAATTTTATACTTACATTTTTAATTATCAAGCATCTTTTATCCAATAGCAAGTGACAGTAAATTCATTTCTGTTTACAAATACAATGTATAATAAATGTTCATTATTGTATTAATATTATTTTTTTAAATAATCATAGGTTTATTAGAATTAAATAAATTTTGCTTAAAAATATAACTGTACTGACAACAATATCTAATATTCAAATAATTTTGTTTCAGTTGGATAACAGACAGCGATTTAGAGGAAGAAAAGGCTATTAACAGTGTACATAGTGTATAAATTTCAAGAGGCAAAGACTTTCTCTGATATTTATACTCATATATATATATGTGTATATTTTATAGTTATTTTCTTTCCAGTTGTTAAAAATAATGTTATTCAAAATTAGTTCTTACACTTTAATTTGTATAAATTTTATTAACAAAACATTTCAATTACAAATATAGTAGTTATTAAAAATTATATTTTGTATAAATACATATAAAACAATACATTTACATAGGTATCTAAATTATTTCTAATCTTGCTCAATCATTATTTTCTTTTGAAACTCCATAATTCTTTAGCAACATTTTTCTGTCTATCAGTTCCTAGTTCATTTACAAATGGGATAATATCTAACAATATATCTTTAGGAGATTCATGTACATCATCAAACCATCTTTTAACGTCCTTATACATTTGTATATCATTAGTATATTGGAAATGTTTAGGCTTAACAATTGGTCTAAATACTTTAATGGGTTTTTCATTTGCCAACATTAATCCTCGGACAGCTACTGATAATGATGACAAACTTATATCATATATAGAAACACCAAACATAAAATCTGAACTTAACATTACATCAGCTGCACTAATTGCATCAGCCCCTTTGCAAATGTCAGTTAAACTTGAGAAACGAGTTAAATAGTTTTCTTGAAGAAACCCCAAAACTGTACTTGGTTGCATTGCAAAATTTTCAGCCAAGTTATCGGGATTATGTGTAAATTTAAACTGAAGTGGGGAGTTAATCATTTCTCTTTTTGGATATATAACACGACCAATAGAATGAAATAAATCAAGACTCTCATCCATTGAAGCGGTAGAACATTTTTTACTGATTTTATTTTGGATGTTCATACAAATGAAATTTAAATTTATAATTGATGCTCTCAAATCGCCATTAGTCTCATCATAAATAGCATTCATTTCAGTAGAATTTGGTATCCTTAGTAATTTATTCTTCTGTTGTTCAGCTTTGACAATTTGTTCCAATACAGCCAGAACAGATTTTCTAGTGATTGGATTGAATTTAATTTGTTGTACTTTCAATCTTTCAGAGATTTCTATAGAAAATAGATCACGGATAATTTTTTCGTTGTTAATTATAAACACAATTGGAAATGTTGAAAGTGTATTAAAACGCATCATAATATCATGAAACTCATCTGGTTTATCTAGGAAAATATTAGGAATATCTTTGATCAACAAAAATTGACCATTAGAAATACCACATTTTAAACTGCGGTATCTAGTTGCACCCCAAATAAAATCTTGGAACTTGTCTTGTACATTTTGATAACAATAACTGTTAGTACACTGATCATAAATTGGTTCAATAGTCATGGGTGTTATCCATTCTAAACAAATGAAACCACACTGTTTGGCGATCAATTTTACTGTAGTTGCTTTAGCACATCCTGTTGGTCCTGTTACAAGTAAGATTTTACTTCTAGTCAACAAATTGCTATTTAAGCTTTCAAACCAATGTTTCACTTCTTTTACTTTACCATTGTGTACAGCTAGTTTAGAAACGGACTGAGGAGTATAAGTATTACACCAATCAGAATTTTTATTTTCACTTTGAATAAGAGGCCTTTTTTTACTAGGTTTCTTCAATAATTTTATATCTGATGGAGTTTCTTCGAAAGATGGTTTAATCCATGCTTTTTTTTCAGGACTCATTACCTAAAATATTTAATTTAAAATTTCAATATTTTATAAAACAATAATTAAATCAACATTATAACAATAATAAATAACACTGAATTAAAATTAATAAATGTACCTACAGTTTTTTTTTTTACTTTATAAAAATAATTGAAACAGTTAATTAATTTAAAATAAAGAGACTAAAAACTAATACTTACAGTTTTTAAATTTGTAAATTCCAAAATACAGTAGCAAGTAGATAGTAGATAATATTGTTTACCATTAAATAATTTTGATTAAGAATACTAATAATAGGTTATGAATTATAAATAAGTTATGACTATTGGATTTTAACTTTTAAGCATTACTTCAACAAATATAATTTGAAAATTTAAAAATTATATGTTACGCACGTTATCAGAAAATTGTTATCAATACTTGGACTAATGTTATTACACAGTTATAATATATAACCATGGCTGTAGGCCACACAATCTAAGATAGACCCACAAGGTTTATAGATAATCGATAAAGATTAGGAGACCGATTTGAATATTCAATTTATATTAATTATTAAAATAAAATTAACTTACTAAATTCTTGAATTTAAAACCGTTTAACCATCTTAAATAAAAATATTTTTTTAATAATAAGCAATTAACTAGTTCAAGATTAATTTTTAAAATGTCAAATTTGTGATACATAGTAGTAGTAGATAACAGACTATATTAAATTAATTCAAAATAATATCAAAAATTATATTTGCGTAAGTAAATTAATATAGAAAATATAAGTTATTTGTTTTGAAAGGGTGGTAAGACGTTATTTGTCCAAATAACTTGATTATTATTGTAAAAAATTAGTGTTCTTTTTATAATTTCAAGTTCTTCGGATACTGTGCTTAGACGGAACTTTAATAACATGTTTTCTTTTTCTAAAAGAAATAGTTTCAATGCCATCTGAAAATAATAATACACTGTATCACTGTATTAGTATAGATAAAATACAATAATAATTTGTATTTAATATTTATAAATTAGATAAATTATGTTCAACAATTCTAATTATTATTTGGTACCATTTATACGAGAGTACCTACTTAAGCATTGGCCAAGAACGACGACATTTTTGCTATGGGAAATTTTGGGAAATATTGAAAAAGCAAATTCAACAGAATGTATATTTTTCAAAATTTAAATCTTATTTAGTAAGTACCTACTGATAATATTCAAAAAAAATATATATATATATTAAGAAATTAAATATAATTTTTCCTTTACGATTATATATTATACAAGTCTTTTTATATATACAGATTATATTATATTATTATACGACATACGTATAAATTAATATTAAAAGATTCTCTTAAAAATGTAATGTTTCCTTTAATACAAATAAATGATTAATAGATATTTTTTTAGATTATTTTAATATGGTAACCATATTATATTTGTACTCTTATCTCTAATTTTTAACTATATAATTAAACTGTCTTTTTCTTGCCTCGAGTGAATAATAAATTACTATAATGGTCTACTATGGATACCTACTGGCTACTAAGTACCTACCAAAAAAATCAGTTGCTTGGAAATATTGAATATCAAAACGAATTTCTTGAATACTAGTTTAAAAATGTTACGATTTAATTGTTGCAAAAAATTATAAAAAAAAATATAAAATTTATAATTCTAAGTTAAATTAATTTGTAAATTACAAAAAATTATCAAGTACTTAGGTACATTTAATATTAGTTAATGACATTTCTTTTATTCTAGATGATAATATCTTTAATGGATTTTATATTTATATTTATTTTATAAGGTTTTTGAGAGATGAGATGAAAGAGGCTACAAATTGGAAAGTACCTGTTGTAAGTGGAAAAACCCTAAATCACCATTAAATATATTCTTTTACGCGATATTTAGAATTAGTTTTTCTATAAAGGATAGAGGTATTCATTGATTTTTGACAATGTTGTCATGTATTATATATATAATTACCTGCAAAATTCAACTTTGAGGCTGAGCCACCTCCTCAAACATTAATCACACATTCACACAAAAACCCTATTAAAATGTCTTCGTCTATTGGCTATTCACTAAAAGCCTCATTCAATGTCTCAAACCACTCACTCTACTTAATACAAATTATGTGTTAAGATAATAAATTATTTAAAAAATATTAATACCTATATATGTGTTTCTAATCCCTATACATACAAATTAAATCAAAATCTGTTAAAAAGAACTTACTTCATTGTCTCTTCTACGTTTGGCCTCTCTGGACTTTTTAGCTGCCATATTGTTTCTTTTTCTCTTTTCGTAATATTTTGCGTCTTTTTTTTCTCTCGGAGTATCTGTCTTCAGACGTCGGAGTTGAGTTTGTTGCACGCCATATATTTTACAAGTACACTCGTGGCCATGTAATTTGTCATTTTCTAAAAAAGAATTCAATTGAATTAAATAAGTACTAAAAATATAAATAACACAATGAATTATGTAAAAAAAAAAAGGATACCTACTATTATAATTATTTTGTATACAGGACGGACAATTTGTTTTAGAACTATTTCGACCAAAACTCAATGAATCCATTCAATTGCACAATTTTATACTTCGTTTTACAAGATATAGTATATCTACTGGAAACTGCCCTTTTGCTGCCAATAATAAACATTAAAATAAATATTGTTTAGCTATAAAAAGTTATTTATAAATTGGTAATACTACATCATCCACTATACAGGGCGATTCACAAGAAGTATGTTCACCCCTAATTTTACACTCATTAATGAATATAATTACATTATGATCTTTTGAATTTCTAAACACCTTATTTTCAAACACTTAGATTTTGTACACCATTTAATAAAAATCCTGTGATAAAACCATTTTTTTTTTTTTTTTTTTAATAAGAATATCCTTTTTTTTATATAAATACTAAATAGTTAAGTAGATGATATTTTAGAAAAATTACATGTATGTCCAAATCTAAAATTGAACGATTAATTTATGAGTTATTAAACTTTGTGTTTTAAGGATTAAGGATATAATAAGAATTTATTAGAATAATAGATTGGAAGATATAGAAGTTATACCTATACAATGATAGTTTAAAAAAGTCAGTCATTTACAATTTATAGTAAAAATGTTTAGTTTTCAATTGAAAAAAAAAAATTAATTTCAATAACACTAAATGCCTTAAAATTTCAAGTATACGAAAATACGTTTCTTATAATTAGGTATACTTAAAAATTTTAAAAATCGAAATTCAAAAATGTATTAATAATAGAAAAAATTTGGGTATCATATGCTTGGTAAATTACCCTGTATAAAACATTAAAACCACTATAAAACGGTAAATGTAAATACGTAACATATTATAAATTTTATTGTAAACCACAGTATAGGCTATTAAATGATAAATGTAAACATACTTATTTATATTGATAATTAATAATTTATACTATACACACTATAGTCACTATGTATAGGTTAATGATTATATACATCCAGACTGTTACTTGGTAGTTGATGAATGGTATTTGATATAAAGTAACTAATTAAATATCTAACTATTATTATATGAGTCAGTGGTAAGTATAAAAATGTTCAATGGAGAAAGGCTAAGAGTTATATTAAAAAGTATATCTTAAATATATCTTATACAGTTATCTATTAATATATAAGTAGATATCTACATAACTAAATGGTCTAAATGTATAGATATATGTTTTTATATTACTCAGATATAAGGATTAAGGACTAAAGCTGTTTAATGTTTACATTAATTTAGTCTTTGAATATATTAAAACTATATACAAACCAAAAGTTAACTTTTAATAGTTATAATGTTATAGTAGTATGTTAAACTTGGAAACATAAGATTCTAATAATAAAACATAACATTATAACAAATATTTTCCATTTAACTGAATTTTAATTTACGGACTTGCAAAATCAGTAAACACGAACTCGACTATATCAACAGTGTTATTAGTTATTACTATACAAGATATTTATGAATGACTGTCGACTGAACAGTACTGTGAAGGAAAGTAAATAGTGCCATAGTTGTATACCGTATACAATTTGAAAATCAGCGATACTGCGACTGCTTATTCAGAAACAATATTTTGTTTTAATTTCTATAACATTTATTTTATCCTCATAAATATAAATGTATTTTTAATTAATTACATATTATATTTTAACGTCATTTTTATTCTCCTAAATATACATTTTTAAATTTAAATTAATATCTGTGTAGTGTATACTGTTTAATAATATATAGGCACATAATGCTATATTATTGTAGTATTCTATCGTTTATGACTATAAATGATGACTATATAGTCTATAGCCAGGTGCATAATAATTTGTCAACTTGCACGCGAACGCATGCAAATTATCAGTCGTGAAACCAAACACCATAATCATTTGTAACTTGGTCTAAATTACTCCCTACTAATTTCATAGTTTAAGGAATAGTCAATAGTCATTATATTATGATAATTTACTTTACTATTTTTTATTGTCATTACAGGACGGCTATATTTTCCAACGCCTATACACAATAACATTTATCGACGATGACATCGAAAAATAACACGAAATTTAATAATTAGGTACCAATTTACCCTATTTCTATTATAAATATATTTTATGAGTTTTACAAATCACATAATATCCATCAAAAAAGATTTAATGACTATTTTATACAATAAACGCCCAGTGGTTATCACATTATTTATTTATACATAATATATGAATATATCAATCATCCTATAATCATCATATAATAGGTATTATACTTTACTACATTATACATTATACAAGGTATAAAATACCTACTAAAATATACCTAGATAATATAAGTATGATATTATATTCAGTTTTGCTTAATTAATTATTGTATTTGTATTGTAAATTAAATATTAAATGTATTATTAAAAAAAAAAAAATGTATTTATTATTATTTAAATAATTAACTTGATTGAGCCTAAAGAAATTAATATTAATAATGATTTTAAAAAAAGGTTGGCAAGTGAGTAGGTACCTCTCTACTGTATATTAAGTGTCGAGTGGGTCACTATTACGGACATGTAAGATTTTAATTTTACAAATATTTTTTTTTTAAATATCATCATTGTATAATACGAAAAACGATTCTGAACAGACAGTCTGTTAGCTTATATCACTAAGTATATTTTGTGATATGCTTTTTTTATATACCTAACTGTTAATATTTTTTTTTAATTTTAATATTAAGGTTGGTTAATATAATTTTTTTGAAAATATTGTATTTATTATATTATTAGTACTTAATTATTATAATAATATATTGCATTATTTGTATTTATATTTAGGTAGGTACCATGTTATGTATATCAACTTAAATAACTCAAAATTTAATAACATCTTTCTATAAAAGGTATTTGAGTTAATGAAATATCAGCCTACCGAGTTAGGTAGGTATAAAATTTTTAACATTTGATTATAATTGTATGGATTAAGAATACAATTCAATTATATTTTCTGTTAATGTTTATAGCTACCAATGAATCATCATCACAAAAAATAAAATCATGACCAAACAAGTAAAATCAGGCTATATTTTGAGCGACTCACCGAGATTTTTAATTATTTTTCAATAGGTACAAGGTACTTATATAAATAGTACCATGAGGCATGAAGCAAGTTTTGTTTTGAAGAGTCCGACCAAGTTATTGTAGGTTTTAAGTTCTTTAATAAATAGGTATTTCAATATTTATGATATGTAAATAATTATTTTTAAAGTTAAAATATTGTAATCTGGTTGTATACATCAGGCCTAAAAAAAATTTTGGTTGTAGAATAGGTAATGTTTTATGAACCGTTTGCATCTGCTGCATCTACACATGTTGAATACACAGCATACATACAAGTTACAGCAATACAGAAAACAATTTATTGCAGACAACATTTTTGCCACCAATTCATCAATACTCAATAGTATTAAATCTGATCAGTACTACGTTTTACTCGTTTTAGGTAGTTTTGGGTGAAAAATTTACTGCATAAACACCATAAGCCAAAAGGTACAGACCATATTATAGTATAATATTTAAATATTACACTATATAGTATATAATTTTAATTTTCAAATAGATAGTAGATACACCACTGAACACCAGTAATGAATTCAAAGCGCTAGCAGTATTGATTATAGTATCAACAGCCATATATTTTTATCATAGAATATAATAACGATAACTATTAATTTCTTATTTTTAAAACAATGCTTTCACTATTGAGAATTCGGAACACTAATATGTTTACTTTGAATTTTTGAAGGTTGTTAAATTTATAAAATTATAAAAGTAATAATTTAATTGTTTCTATACCAAGTTTCTACTATGTCGAAAATATTTACTCCAACTAATCAAATTCGCCTTACTAATGTGGCTGTCGTTCGGATGAAAAAAAATGGTAAACGATTTGAAATAGCGTGCTATAAGAATAAAGTAGTTTCGTGGAGGAATGGCATGTATGTTAATAAAATCTTAATACTTTTTTTTTAAGATAAAATTAAATATTTACTTAATTGTTTTTTGCTTCTATAGTGAAAAAGATATTGATGAGGTGTTACAAACACATTCGGTGTTTACTAACGTATCCAAAGGCCAGGTAGCCAAAAAAGAAGATTTACAAAAAATTTTTGATACTGATAACTTAACCGATATTTGTAAACATATATTAGAGAAAGGAGAGTTACAAATTTCTGATAAAGAAAGATCTGCTCAATTAGATGCATCCTTCAAAGATATTGCCACTATTGTTGCGGGTAATAAATAAATTAAAACATTAATTTAAAACATATAATTTAATATTAAATGATTATATTTTTATTTCCAGATAAATGTGTTAATCCAGAAACAAAAAGACCTTATTCTGTAACTATGATAGAAAAAGCAATGAAAGATGTACATTATTCAGTAAAACCAAATCGAAACTCAAAACAACAAGTACCTAAATACTAATTTCTTAACAGACTGCTGATATCCCTTAATATTAATAAATAATAAACTTGTTATGAACATTTAACAGGCCCTTGAAGTCATACGTTTAATCAAGACTGTACTTCCACTTGACAGAGCTATGATGAGGTTAAAAGTTGAATCAACAAGCAAAGATGCTAAAAAATTAAAAGAAAAATTTGTTGCTTTAGCATCATCTGTAGAATCTGAAAATTGGGACTCTGGAGAAATTACTTTGGTATAAAAAATTATATTATATAAAATCTATAAAACATTAATTTATTAATTTGTGTTATTGTGTAGATACTACTTATTGATCCTGGAAATTACAGACAAATAGATGAACTTGTGAGATCAGATTCTAAAGGCACTACTCAAATGGAAGTTCTTAGTTTAAAAGAAGTTGTAGAAGGAGACAGTTTTTTAGATTGAAAGCTTTATGTTATTATTTTGTGTAAAAAATTAATCAATTAACATTCATGTATTACTGTTGTATATTTTTTTGAAGAACTGATAATTTATAATTGGTTATTTTATTAAATTTAAAAGACAATTAATAAATATGTGTAATGTTTATACTATCAATATAATATTTAGGTAATAAAACCTCCTAATATTTAAAATAAAACAATTTAACATACTCATAGTTTGAAATATTTAAATTATAGTGAATTTTTTTAATTAATGACATTTTTAGATTTTGAACCGTGAATTGAAGAATATTATCTTATACTGTTACAATTTATTTTTTCTATTATCCATAATTAAAACTTGAAATACCTAAATTGCTTTATAATTACACTATATGAAAATTTTGATTCAGTAAAACGTCGGTATCAAAAACAAGACAAGTGCCAATTAATTATGCTATGAAAGTAGTTAAAGCTTAACATATTATACATATTATTTATCATTATGCTGATATAACATGTATAAAACTTGGGTCAATATACTATTAGTGGAGGAAGCCTTACAAAAACTGTATTAAAAAACAATGTTCTTTGGTATAATCTTTATTTTATTCAAAACATTTTTAACTAATCTCAAAAACAATTTGGAAATTGAAGAGTGCACAATTTTTGTTTAAAATCTAGTCTACTCTTCTATATATATATATATATATATATATATATATTGTATACGCTATTGTAAGGCTACTGTTCAATCAGTGTTAATTATTGATTATCATGATATATTTAATAAATATAAGTCTCTCTTAAGAATTCAACCGAATCTCTGTTGAGTTGTCAAACCAAAAAAAAAAAAAATTAATAAGACCAGTCCACTGGTACCCAATAATAACTATTATAATATTATTATAAATGACAGTAAGTTATATTACAGACGCAACAATTATTTAAATAATACTACATTATAATATATTAAAATGTCTGTTAAAAATATATTTTTTGAAGATACTATATTAATTATAATTTATGTTTTGATTTTGACTACAAGCAGCAGTACGGACTACAGACAATAAAATATTCTAAATTTACAAAGTATGTTAATAGGTAGTTGGTGAATTAAAACTTAAAAAGTCAAAACTGTATTTAATTTATACAATTAATATTTTAATAAGAATCTAAAGAATCTGTCAAATCCATAAATAATATTATCTATGGTCAAATCGGCTGTCCATTGTGATCACGGTCTTAGGTCTTCTATGACCGTGATTGTGATTGTGATTTATGAATTATCTTTCTAAATTAAAGTAATCTAATCACAGAATAGATAAGAAATTTCATCTATTCCGTGATCTAATTATCTAACGGTTAAACTCGGTTAAAGAGGAATTTGGGGATCCAATAAAAATTGATACTTATATATAATGTCTTTGTTCCGTTCACCTGTTGACTGTTGCGACATCCGATCCCCTCCACCCGTTACGCTAATAGAGTCAAAACATGATTCTTAACTAATACAAAATATACTACATTGATAGTACCGTATGAAAACAAACAATGGGTTGGGTGTAGAATTTCAAATATTTTTAATACATTTTTCCTCGTAGTTTAGTCATAGAATTTTGTTCAGTTATTTTGTTATTTTTTTTTCTATTAGTTTAAAATCATTTGAACTTGAAAATTTATTTTGATACGTGAATAATTTAAATTATGTGATATTAAAAGAAAATGGCTTTAACAACAGTGAAATTACTGGGCCTGTTACAATTTATTGAAGTATTTGCATTTCATACACATGCCGATTTTACTTGGCCAAATGAACTTAAATCTACTAAAGGCTATACGGAATGGGCTGGAGGAATTGTTGCTAATCATCATCGTCTCAGAGCCGACCAAAGCCCTTACATCGTCTTAAATAATGTTGTTATTGAAGATACTGGTCAGCTTATTATAGATCCAGGAGTAATACTTAAATTTTCACCAAAAACCGGGATCACTGTTAAAGGATCAATTATTGCAAATGTAATATATTTTTAAATATTATCTAATAAACTAACAAATATGCTCATACCAAAAACACACATTTTATAGGGAGATGCTTATAACAAAATTGTAATGACATCTAGTGCTAATGTAGAAGATACAGACGATAGTTTAAGTCAGTCTTCTTCGAATATAAGACTTGTAGATGGTCCTAGTATATTAGCTGGACGCTTACAGCTATTTTATAAAGGTGCTTGGAGATCAGTTTGTACATCAACACAGTAAGGAAACTTTTTTATTCTTTATAATCTGCAAAAAATAATTATAAATATTTTTTAAATATACAGATGGAACAATGCAGACCTCCAAACAACATGTCGGCATTTGGGTTTTCGCGGAGGTCAATTTTTACGTTGGATGGAACCTAAGGTAGATAAGCTTCACACACGACTTTTGTTGTCTAATTTACAATGCCAAGGAGTTGAAAATGATTTAAATAGCTGCAGTGGATGGGGAAATAAAAAATTAGGATCTGGTAGCTGCGGTAAGTTTGAGTGTTTATAACAATATAATTATATTTTTAAATACATGACTCATCATTAATGAATCACCATTAATCTCAAAATATGTATTTAACTATAATTTTCAGATCTTAAGCAAGATATTGCTATTGAATGTCAGCCGTATTATGAAAACAGCTTTGCTGTAAAAAGTTATTGGAAAGGTCTTAAATTTGAAAAAGCACAGTTCAAAAAATCATTAATAAATCATAATACCTTATATCAACCAGTATCACTTTCTGAACTGAATCATGTCATATTAACGTATGTAATTTATTTATTCTCAATACATTTTTGTGTAAAATGATATAATAAATTTAATAAATTATTAATTTAGTAACATCATTTTAAGAGAAGAAAGGGCATAAGAAAAACATTTCAATTAAATATTTTTTTTTGCTGTGATTAAAAACTTTATTGATATAAGTATTTTTGATTAATGTAAATATTATTCTTTTATATCAAGGTTTATATACATCAAATTATACAGTAGTCAAAGTATATAAACATAATAAATAACTAAAGTTACTACATGGTTCTTCATTGATATAGGAATCGCATAAGCCATAATAAGAATCATATACTATAATATAAAAATCAAAATTCATGAAAGGAATAAACATTATTTAAAAAAAAATTCAGTTGTCGTCTTGTCCTATCTAGTGAACTCTGAAATCATACTATTGTATTAGTTATTTTTTAATTTTTATACTATTTAATGTAATTATGATATATTTAGATATGCTGGTGTTGGTGCTGAGTTTAAATCTACTTCAGTCATAGAAGTTGATGGAGTACCACCGTTATTAAGAAATGTGTCAATATTACATTCTGCTTATAATGGAATCAACATAACAACATCAGATTCTATATTAGATTTACAAGACTGTATTATTAAAAATAATAGAGGTAGTTACTACTTTGTACTAAATAAAATATATTAAAATGTTAGTTTTCATTTATATAAGTCTATATTGTTAATACACCAATGTTTTGTTAATAACATAATATTTTGGTGACTAAATGCAGTATTTGGTTTATTGTTAATATATATATATTTTATTTATTGATTTTTATAGATTTACGTATATATATTTTTTATAATATTTATTTTTAGGACATGGTATTTTTATGAATTCATCTTTTGGTCAATTAAGTTTAATGAAAACTTTGGTGTCTAACAACAGAGGAGATGGTATACATATGGTTCAAGGCAATGTCAATCATGATCTCATGAGTAATGTTAACGAATTATGTTCTCTTCCAACTACAACTAGTCAAACATTTCCTGTGCTTGTTTCTGTACAACAAAATAGTTATAACGCTAAACAAATTAACTGCTACAAAGTATTTATTTATAATTTTATTTAGTATAATATTTATATTTTGTAATTTATATATAATTAATTGCAGAGTTTGTTCACAAAAATTGGGCAAGTTTTAACTGTTAATATTGAACATACTCGTTCTCAACAACTTGATAATAATTCATTCATATATATTTATGATGGAGAAGTATCAACTCCTGATAGGTATTTTTTCATGAATTTTATATTTATTATAATACAATATGTTATTAAAAATAAAATATATATTTTTAGGCTTTTAGCTACTATTTCTGTACTCAATAATACAGTACCACAATCAGTAACATCAAGTCGTAACAACATATTAATTCAATTTTCTGCACCAGCTAGAACAAATGTATTTGGTCTTCTTAGAGTAACATCAGGATTTGGTGAGTTAATTAATTTTAATTTAATAATAAAAAATAATAATAAATATTCATTGATTAGATAAATTATCTCATTTATTCTAATTTTTATTTTTAGTGAAATGGCATAGTATTAATATATCTGAAAGTATTCTATCTGATAATATTGGTTCTGGATTATTTGTTGAAAATTTGTATAGTGCAGTATCAATATTCAATTCCTCAGTGCACAATAATAGTGGAAGTGCTGGAGTCAATGTTTTTAATGGTTCTGCTGATATAACTATATTAGGTTCAGAAATTGTGTATAATAACGGATTTGGAATTTTAACCAATACTAATGGTGGAGTACGCAATGTTACATATTCATTGATCAAGTCAAATTCAGGACCAGGAATAGCTGTTCGATTATTAGATAAAACAATCAGCAATGTACCTCAGAAAACAATTTTAACATATTCTCAAATCAATAACAATACAGTAGAAATTGATGGATGGTGTCATGGAAAATCCCAAATAAATGTCACGGGAAACGTTTTTAGTTTTAGCATTTATGCATTAGAAATAAAATCATGTATTGAACGACAAGCTACTACAACTCATGCAATTATATCACATAATGAATTTTTTAATAACAAGAAATTAGCTATACTTATAAGACCAATGCTTAACATGGATGCAATTTTAGAATATAATCGATTCAAAAAACAAGAGTATGGTTGTATATTAATTAGAAATGAGCATTTTGATGAAGATTTTGATGAATCTCCAACAACTGCTTTATTGAGATATAATGAATTTTATGATAACAGTGGAAGCTATGTAGTTAATTTAGGATTAAGTAC